ATGTAAGACCTAATAGCTTTTGGATATCGGCTGTTCTCCATCTTATAGTCCGGTGTATGTAAATTGCAGACCAGAAGGAAAACGAGAGTTTAACCCTATGTTAATTGCGGTCGAAACCAGAGAAGGGTATTTGTAAAATGCGGACAGACTACCTCATCCCTTCCAGGTAAAAATTAAGGGTGACACTTTATTTTCAAAGAACGTTTTCATAGCCATTAGTTTTAAAACTTAACTCCCTCTCCAACTTTCCACACTTCGTTGGTTTCCAGGAAATGGTTGAATTCGATTGAATTCAAATTGGTTGATTAAATGAATTCTGCGTTTCTATTCATTTTATATTGTCTATTTTTCAACAAAAATTGTATAACGCTGAACTTGAGATTTGGACACTAGAATAGTGCTTTATTCGGTTTTCATTTTGATACAAGAGTCTGGAAGAGTTCCAATAAACCACAAGGAAAAGCTGGACAGCAGCGCCACAGCGGCGGTGGTGGCGGCGGCTCCCTTAACGCGCTTACCTGCTCAGTTGCCCTTTTTCTTACCTGGCTTGGTTTCCTCCGCAATTTTCATGTAGAAATAGAAAGTAAGTTTCGCTAGAAAAGATAGTGATGATTTGGTCCGCAATTTACATTCGGTCCAATATTCATGTTCTTGCCAGTGTGTTCTGTACTCTATCTGATGACAAAAGGAAAAATGTTTAATTCATTCCTCTTGTCTGTTTCTTTACTTTAACTTCTCTCCTGCACCTTTCCACTCTTCCCAGAAACTATTAGAGCTGCATGAAGCTGTATCCAATAACTTTTACTTACTTCCATTCGTGCAGATGCGAACTGGATTTTTTCTTTCCACGACTACACGTTGTTTTTGTTTGTTTTGTTTATCCTTTTTTTGTTTTCAAAACACTTTCTTTGAAGACTGTTAAAACAGATGTTGTTTTAAAAATAAAACTCTCTTCAAATTTGTAGTTTTGAACTGTTACTTTTTTGCAATTTTCGAATGTGTGTTCGTCGGAAAAAGGACCAGGGCCAATATTTTCTGACCTTTGATACATACAAGGAGAACTTTTTTTTAATGGAGCCGTTTTGGATAAAATAATTGTATAAAAATCGCTTACATTTCACGCAGAATTGCGCAAAAACTGTTCATATTTTTGAAAAATTGTACGTGACCTTATTTGAAGATCTGTCTTTAAAGAAAAGATTTCTTTCAGGAAAAATGCCTATTTTCATTACTGTAATTGTGGGAAGACGCTGAAAAAAATGTCAACTTTGCAATGTTCGAAAAATCAGATTTCAACGAAAATGAGATCTGCATCGTTCTTCTAAGTGTCCTTGACGTTTTCCGAGAACAGTTTCTCAAACATAAGGAGCCATTGTTAAGAAATGATTTAAAATGTTTTGGATGCGTTACAAAAAGTACCCCGTCCCCTCAAATCAAAATACCCACATCAGACTCCGTGCCTAGAGTTTCTTTAAATTCATCGAGGAATATCAATTTTGGAGAAATCGTCTGAACGGTATTGGCACTAGGTTTGATGAAGGGCGAATGGACGGAGTTTTGCCGTCAATCAATTTTTCGCTATTATGGGTCCACAAAACGTGGATTCTGACTCAATAAATATTAGGAGAAGAAATTTACTTTGTGTATAGGAATAAGACATTTCCACTTTTTCGATACCTGGGCCCGGCAGTAAGTTTTTATATCGCAAATTCGTAGTTTTTCGGCGTACAAAAACAATACTTTCTCTCCTTACGAAGTAAGGGCGAGCGAATACCTGCCACAAGTCGCGCCGCAGTGGCAGACCTCCACGGGAGAGCACGAAATAATGGAAAAAATAGTCCCTGAATTAAATCGCCCTCACGAGAAAAATAAAAAAAAGAAAACAAAGAAAATTGCGCCTTACTTTCTACGAATTTCCAAGGGGCGAATGGTGCATGCGATGGGCGTTGTCTTCCTTGCGACGTACCATGTGCTCCTGCGGTCAAGCTTCTTCCTTTAATTTTGCATGTTTTCATTTCAGCGTCCAAAGTTCCATTCTTTTCTCCCTTCCATGATTGAGATTCTCTATAATACAATATAGAATTTTCAGCATTTTTTAATGCAGTACGAACACGTGGCGGCAGCATGTACTGTTTACCTGGGTTCCACAAATTTTGTATTTCGATGAGGTTATGTATACATTAGTGTGTTACTTTTTGGGATGGCCATCCATAAGCAGTAATTTTTTTTATTACTCGGAAGAACGTAAAGCTTATTGAGCTAAGTTTAATAAAGCCAGGTTAAAAGCCGTGTATGTTTGAATTCAATTGACAATTTTTGGGAATTATAGTGGTTTTGAATCGTTCTTTGGGATATCTGGATTTGATAGCGAGTGTGAAACATTGCGACGTAGACTGAAGAATAAAGAGCAGGGGGAAGAAAGAACGTTTTGTTGAAAATTGAGAGATATTAGTGCCATGTTTCGCTTAATGAAAGTACATTTAATTCTCTGCGAATCTGGACGTTTCTATCATGTTTTGTGTCGGGGCATTTAAAAAAAACTTCTTAAAAGTAACTTTTGGAGGTTGCGAGGGGCAGCGCATCCCCAAACTGGACATGCGTAAGGCATGATTAGTTGAATTAAGGATTTAAATAATCAGCCGACATTCAACTTTCAATGAACTTGCATTAATTAGAGGGAAGAGTTTTGATATTTTTGCTGATTCTTTGTTGACTTTTGCATTAATATGAGGTTTGTGATGTTAATCTTTTGTGAAGCAACACTATGTATTATATCGGTGAGGTCCACGGTATATGTGCATATATTGTGAAGATTTAATTTGGGAGTATTTTTGGCACGGCGTAACATGATCATTTTTGCTTGACATTTAAAGTGTGTTGCTTGATTCCCCATTTCTGGTTTGTTTAATGCGGTTTGATTCCCTATTTCTGGTTTGTTTAATCGTTTTGAATATAATCCTTTTCTGTGGCAATGATATTGTGCGTTGCGAAAGGGGCGATACCATCTGCATACAATGCTATCTTGGAGTCACCCTCAGTTGGGTATATCGTGGCTAAATATGTTGAAAAGGAGGGGAGATAATACTGATCCTTGCGGCACACTTGCAGTAATGGTGTGCGGGTAAAAATACATTATGTATTGAGTTTTATAATTAACCATCTGTTAATGAGAAAACTTTCATAACCTCTTTCTAAGTACTTCGGAATTCCTAGTTGTCGCATTTTATATATTAGTCCCGCGCGCCAGACTCTGTCGTACGCCTGACATATGCACAGGAAAAAGTTGCTGATGCTTCGTTTAGGGGTAGTCTTGCGCTATACCTTCAGTTCGTAGTAGTTAGTGCCACAACCTGAATTGAATCGACGGAATAGTGTTGCTAGAATTGCATTTAATAAACCTAGGAATTTAATTAGTTTCAAATGTTTTGGATAGGGTTGGTAATGGACTAATGGGACTGCAGGTTTCATCACATCTTTCTTTTCCAGCTTTACAAAAAGGAATTAGGGAAAGGAATTTTTCCCCACTGAGGGGAAAATGTGAATCCTTAATGCCGTATTAATTATTGCCACGAAATCTGCAATTGAACGCCTGCTCAACGTTTTGATGCAGACTGTATTCATGCCGTCAATTCTAGGTGCTTTTTCATAATTTTCAGACGCTTAATTTCAAAGGCGGTTTTCTATGGAGCAATGAATTCAGTGGGTAGTGTGGCGATTGGAAAAGTTGAGTTGACGAAATTCTCTATTTCCATGTTAAGTACTATAAGTAGTTCTTGTTTGTCACGGGGTGAAGTTTTCCCTATGAATACAGGAACGATCTCGCCACATGCTTTCCTCCTTACCCTCCTAAACACTGACCTGGATGTAGCAAAGAGTGAGGGAATGCTGACCACGAGATGCGATTCCCCACATAGAGTTGGGTCCATGGCCATACGTGTAATAAAGAACAACTAAGATAGGCTTTAGGGCTACTTGGGTACGATCGGGGAACGCGAGAGGTTTTAACTAGGAATTACTATCAGGATTACTATCAGATCGTTACCGCGAGAGATCCTGGTAGGTTCAGCCGCAGATAGGTAGCAGCTGGGGAGGGAATGCGACAGCGAAATATACTGCGATTTATTCATCTCTGCCCCTGGAAGGTGACGGTTGCTGACAGGTTCTGTTGTCGGTTTCATCCAATCGGGTGCTTGAACTTCACCATAGTGACGTTACTTTGGTGACGTTCAAGCTCCCGATTGGATGAAACTGTCAACAGCTGATACTTGCCAGGGCAGAATCGCAGTATAGTATCGTAGACTCAAAAGAGGAACTAGTGGCAGGCAGGAAATTTGTGCTGTTTTGTAGCAGCACCAATTTCATCCAATCTTGAGTAACTTTATACTACGAATAGTATACAAGAAAGTAAAAAAAATGTCAGCTTAATTTGAAATTCCATCGATCGCCTTCCCACGTTACGCGGCACCAGTATCCTTAATGGGGCCCTATACACAGAGATATTTTCCGCTTTAGCAAAGACCCCCTTCCTTCTCGGCGCATTTTTCCGGCTTCGCGCGACCACGAGTCCTTCCTGTGCGGATGACGCGGACTTATCTAGCGTGAAACCCGTCCGTCAAAAACACAGCTCTCGCGGGGCGATGGTGGTGGTGCGGGGCAGCTGCTTGTTCGGAACGTTTCCGGGAAGCCCAGAGGCCGGTGGCTGACAGGGCTGAGGGGGCGAGGACGCTCCCTCCGGCGGCGGCGCTGCCGGAACCTTCTGGACGGCGTTGCGTAACCGCAGGCGGCAGAGCAGCGCTGGGCGCCTTGCTTGAGTGCACGCGCACCCGGCACAGCCGCCGACTCGACCGGCGCGGCGCGACTGGGCGATGACGTCAGTGGGCCGCGGTCGGAAGGTCGCGTTCCTCAGCTGCCTGCCACCCCACCGCCGCGACTATCACCACAACACTGCGTACATCTGCGCCTCCGCGAGGCACGCAGACGGGGTGCCGGCCGGCGCTGCGATGTTCGAGGTGTTGGTATGATGGCGTGTGCCAGCGGCCGTAGTAGCGGCAACGGCGGCAGCGGTCCCGTCCGCCCCCGCCGCGCCGAGCCGCGCCGGCACCCAGCCCCCTCGCTCGGGCGTCTCCGCGCTCGCCTCTTCCGTCGGCGCGGCGCGGGGAGAGCTGGGGCCCGTGGTGGGGGGCGGCGGCGGCGAGGGAAGGGGGCCGGTGGCGCGAGCGACGGGAAGGGAGCGCGCGGGCGGGCACAAGTTGCCGAGACGCTGTCCCGTTGGGAGGCACTGTGCTGCGGGCTATCGCGACGCTAGGCGGGAGGAGCACGGCGGAGGCGGCGGCGGCGGCGTGGATCGCGCGACCGCATTCTGGGGAATCTGGCCGGGCGTTCACCCCGCGGACGACGTGACGTCGGCTCGAATCGGCGGCGAGCGCGAGCGAGTGCGTGCGTGCCTGTAAAGCGGTGCGGTGCAGTGCGTGGCTGTGCGCGTGTGTCGATGGAGCGCCGGGAGGCCAGGTAGGCCAGGTGGCAGCGGGCGCCCGACGGCGGGCGGGCGGGCGACGCGGTGGCGCCGGCGGAGCAGCAGTCTCCGGCCGAGGACGGATCCGAGGAACGGCGGCGGCAGCAGCAACAGCAGCAGCAGGCGCCGGCGGCGCAGCCACGCGCGCGCGGCCGGGGCAGAGGCGTCGGGGGCGGCGGCGCCGCGCGCGCCCTCATGCGCCTCCCGCGGCTGCCGGTGAAAGTCGCGCTGCCTTCCGTGCTCTGGAGGTAGGCGGCCCGGCGCGGGAAGGGGGCAGAAAGCGCGACGCGAAGCGACGCGACGCGGCGCGGCGCAACAAGTGCTCGCCATGCGCGGGCGCGGTCGACGAACCGAACCGACTCGCCTCGCCTGGCGATGCGACGCGACGCGACGCGACGAGAATATACGCCGAGGCGCGGTGGATGCGCATTGGAAAGCCACCGCTCGGCGATGTGTAGCCCGCATCCACCGTGGAACGAAAAAATGAATTACCATCTTTTGTGGTTACTGGGAGAAGTGGTGTTGCCGCGTTACTTCCTCAGGCGATTGTTTTTATCGTTGGGCTTCCTCTCCCTGTCTGCCTGGCGAAGGCGATCCATGTGTAGTTGGTCTTCATATTGTTCAGAGAAGTCTCAAAGTAATGTTAAGAGTACGTGTTATCCAGTTATGCAAGGACAAAAAGATCTTAATTGATATCCGTTAACGCGATTTAGTCTCCGCGTGTTGCCGTGTGGAATGTGGCGGAAACCCCCATTGCGTTGTCGTGCCGCACACATTGGCGTGCTGGCTTGGGCGTTGGGGAGTCGGGACAGGATTTCCTTTGCAGTCGCTGCCGTGCTCGTTCGCCCCTCTCCCCTTCCTTCTCCCCTCCCCACCCCCCTCGTTCGCCCTCCTTCCTTCCCCCTCCCTGTGCCCCGCGTGCCTACAGCCGGCGCCCCACAAGGGTGCCCTCCTTCCAGCTTTGGGGCTCCGGATTGTCGGGCTGGGCGGCGTCTGGCTGAATGGGAAGGCTCTCGCAATGATTTGTTGCTTACAAAACCATCGGTTTTTGGTTTGTGGAACTTCTGCACTACGTTCCTTAAATCTCTGAATCTTCGCAATGTCGGTGTAGCAGCGGGTTAAGATTTTATTTGTTTTTATTTTAGTAATATGTTAAAAAATATTTTATTAATTCTATGGAGATGGTCTGGTCTATCGCTTTTTACAGGTCATACACTGAGTAATTATAGATAGATAGATAGATTTATTATTTCTGCAAGTAGGTATAGAACCTGGTGGCAGAACACTACATTTTACAACTAAGAATAGTAATACACTAATTTTAAAGCCTTTTAAGGCAATAATAACAATATAACAATAAAAACTAACAGCATTACCTATACACTTTATGACTGCCCTGCACGGAATTTTTAACTAATAAATACACTGCACTTCACTTCACTACACTACACTTCACTTCACTTCACTTCGGTACCCTACACTTGCACTTGACTTCTCTATTGCACTACACTTCACAACACTTCACGACACTCCAATTCAACTACTACTTTATATATACTTGTATATTTAACAAACCAATGTATTTAATAGTGATTATCACAATACTAATATTTAAAAAATAACAATTATATAGTATATATAACTAAAATAATAACCACTTTAATAACCCTAACTTATACCAATGTCCTTAGTTAATCTACTTTTGAAACTTTGTACACCTAGAGGAAAGGGTTCCAATTATTTAAAGATTAATTGATTTATCTCTTTCTCATATGTTATATAACCATTGCAGCGACACAACAGAAGCTTGCAAGTTCTGCAGTTTGGTTTGATATGTTATTTTAATTCTCTTGTGAATTTGACGAAGTTTGGCTGAAGCGTCATTTTTTCCTAACTTCTGTAGCACAATGTGTTCCGACCTATGATGAGAAATGCCCATAGTAATGTTGTTTGTTGATTATACCTGCCTTTATTCTTCTCCGTGAAGAGGAAGTTGCTGAGGTTGCGTTTAATTTCATTGCGAATTTATTTGCATTCAAAAGAATGAAAACCATAATAGTCAAACTACTTTCTAAGTCCGTGTATGGGGGGGGGGCTAAACTTTCTCAGGATGTAGGAGTTAAAGAATTGGGGTAAGGTACCACACTCCACGGGGGTGGCAGGCTAACACATCGAACTCGATTCAGTGAAATTGTTCGAAAGGTTGCATGTATTTTTTAATCGCAATAAGAAAATGCGCTACTCGTAACCAGCATTTTTCCGAATTGAATATTTTTCAGAAGCGAATTTGTTTGATGTTTTTTAACCGATACAAGTATTTTACCTGTTAAAAGCTTAAGCCGCAACGAATCATCTATATAAAAACAAATAAAACGAAATCAGTGCTTTCCTCTTAAGATATCGGAATCAAACTAAAGAAAATATATTGCTAATGCAAATAATAAAATGTTGTTCAGAACTTAAAAATGTGTTTGTAATTATTAGAAATGATGTGCATATACCTGCTTTGGGGCAGTATTTATTCGAATTCTTCGATTGTTTTATGTTCAGAGGTACTTGTTCAATATTTAGTGATGTTTGTGAATCTACATTCAGGATATGAGTAAATACAAGTAACTGCAGGCCAGGAAATAATAGGCATAAGGAGAACTGCCAGTTATGACAACTGTCCTGAATGTACAGGTGCTCCTCGCCAGCTTTAAACGATGAGATAGAATTGTAACAGAAGCAGATTTTGTCACACAGCTGGTTTGTCAGTGTCGGATTTCTATGGGCGATTAGGTGTTGTGCGATACCTGTAAAATGGGAGAGATCGAGAAAAGTCTACGGACACCACTCGGAAAGCAGAATGTAAACCACGTTGGGAATTTGCAAATGGGGCAAACCTTGAGCTCGCAATTCCTTCCAGTTTCAACCAGATAAAACCTTCCCTAATCATCGGCTGGGATCCTTGTATTGTATTAAATTCAGTTACTAAGTGATCATTTTATTTCCACCAGATCAGCTTGAATGATGCCGTAGGAACCTGATGAAAACAGTAGTGCCAGTCGTGTCCGCTACGGATTATGATTTACGCGAAACTTCACTGGCACACTTAAGGCGGTTACTAGAACTTCACCTAGCATTTCGTGAATCGTGGACAGGTGTTGTGGTGCAGCCATGGAGACTCGTTTGCGTCCTTTTGTGTTCGGTCGTCCAGCTGCCTCGGGAGCCGCCCCTTCCCCCTCCACCCGCATTGGCTGGCTTTCAAGTGCTCGCGGACTTCGTGTGCCCGACCTAGACCACGACAGGCGGCGGTTGAGATGTCATAGTCCTCTCTTAACGAGGAAAGTTAACAGAACGAAGGATGTGGACGCTCTTGTCACCCTTATTAGACATTTTGTCAAAAGTGTCGACTACTTTTTTTCAACTGTTATAACAACAAAAGAGAAAATTGTGTAAAAACTGCAACAAGATCAAAAGTGTTGAGATTGCATTTGTCGTTTATTCTTCGATGTAAACGTTCATTTGAAATGCCCAATGTTATCTTTAGGAATAGAAATACTAAATAAAAATGAAGAAGGTTTTAATAATTTAAAAATCGTGTGCACAATGTGCACGATAATTATTCTACTGTTACAGTGACTACTTTGGTCATTAATACTCAATATGCATACAAGCGTTTCAGCTGTTCGTGTTCCCCAACCGGCACTACATATTTTTCCATCTTTAATTCTTTCTTCATCCGCAACTGGTTTTGTCAGTTGTTTACTGATCGTGTGATGCGGTGCGTACCTGTCATTTGGGGTATTTTGTAAATCACCAATGTCCTGGTATTGCGATACATTAAACTTTCAACAAGTTCTTCGCTTACAAAAAATGAAGTAACTGATTAATTTTCATATTTGATTCGGAAAAAGTAGAGGCCATAATATTTAATGTCTCGGAACAGAAAATAGTAATAGTAATGGAGAAGGATTATTGAGGTGACATTAGAAATGACAGTTGTAATTTCGAAGATGAATTTTCTTGTCAACTACGTTGTCATTAAAGATCTATAGCGAATGATGTTAGCAAATTGGCGTGTATTATGAATTCCTTGAGAGACCTTGTTCAATTCGCAGCTCTACAATTGGGCAAATTTGTTTACTAAGAAACTCATAACATATATTAAAACCTGAAAGATGTTTCCATTTCTTTCTTTCACTGTTCTGCTACGGAGCCTTGGTTTCCATTAAACCATTGTAGATGTTTTGACTTGCAGGATTTATGTAGTCTGATAGTTTATTAATTATAAAACATGCACTATGGAACTTAACACAGATTAGTGTTGGAACGTCGTAGGTGTAACTCCTGATCTCTGCAGCACTGTAATTCACTAAAAAGTTTGTTTTTAGAGAGGACGGGAAAAATCGTCCCAAAACTCCCGTGTGGATGAACGTTAATGACATTGTCTTGTTTTATACATGACATGGATAACTGAAAAGCAAGTAGTACTGGTACTAATGGTACGAAATTAAACAATCATAGTACAGCATTGTGAACTACTTACTTCGTATGCTTCTTAGTTTTCGATATTTGTTGGTGTTATTTTACGTTTAAAGTAAGCCAGAGTGAACTCGACTTGATAGTCAGACACCTTGTAAAATGTGAAAACGAATAGTTAAAAAAATGTAGATGCATTTTATTGAAAAAAAGGCACGAAGGCTGGGATTTTTTATTTTTATTTATATTTTATTTTTTTTACAGAAGTTGCTCAAGCATTAAAGATCCTGCGCAGGGTAACCAGTCTTAATCGCTTTCCAATAGCATTTAAATTTAACATGTTTTTTTCTTTGAATATTTGACTAACGTGAAGGTGAAATTCTCTTAACATTGCGACATTGATTGTGGATTGATTCTACACCAATAGAAATTAGACATTACTTTCCCACAGTTCCATTTGCGTGTTGCAGTGTTTTCATTTCCTCAGTCAGCTCTCATGTCCCCTGGCTATAAAAAATGCCTCCCATTCAATACTTTGTTCCCATTTTCTCATAATTATTTATTCCATTGTTAATTGCTTTAACGATTTCACGAGTCCACATGTCTGATCCTCTCAAGCACACTCTTACTGTTCCTCAGATATTCTAGTTAATGTCGTCGGCCTTTGTGCCCAGATTTACGACCAATAATTTACTGTTTGGGTTCTGTTGTTGTAATTTAATATGTGGCTTGATGTTTTGTTTTTTGCGAGTTCTTAGTTGTACGGAATACAAAGGTTAATTTTATCTTATCTGAATAATTAAAGGACACTTTTCTTACCCGGATATTTTTCCTTAATTAAATCATCCTCTAATTATGGATGTACTTTCGCTTTTTCTGTTAATATCGTGAAGCTTTCAATTACTATTGTAGATAGTGTCATGACCTAATTTTATTGCAATCCTGAACGATTCCAGTAATATTACGAAGTTGGAAAGAAATGACCTTTTTCTTTCAAATATTTTATCTTCACATTTTTATTTTGTAATCACTATTTTAGCTCCTCACACGAGCTCTCCACAAACACCAGTCTCAGAAGGATCCGTAGCTTCTCACTCTCGAGACAAGTTATCAAAATAGATATCCGTCAGGCGCGGAGCCAGCGGACGCTAAGATGCCCCACGCAAAATATTCATCAAAGGACCCTAATTGTTCATTCATTGATCTTAGAAGAAGACGGTTAGGCGAAACAAGTTTTGAATGAGTTAAAGTGATTTCTTATGATTGAATTTGGCTCCTTGTTCCAAGCTGGCTTCTCATTACTTGGTTTCTGCTTGGTTGATGTTCACGTGCTTTTCGGCATCATTGGTGTCAGTTCTTAAAATATTATTTTTTGTGACTTCATCGAACTAAATCACTCGTGAAAGATCTTACACCCAGAAGGACACTTCGCAGCATGATCAGCTGGTGCTTCACACGGATGATACAAGCGGGGCGCTGCAGACATCGCATGATAAACCGGGAAAGAAAGGTTGTTGGAAGAAAAGCTTAGGAGCAAGTTGCTTGCATGTTAATGAGAGGATCGCACACTGCACTGGAATGTTTCTCTCTCACCCCGGAGTCCCTGGTGGCGATGTGTGAACCTCAGAGCTCAAGCAGTATAACAAAAATGCGAACTTACTACTTCGTAATAAATATCTAAAAAGTTAAATTCCCCTTTAAGTATGGTACGTGATTTCCATTAAATTATTCACAAGTGATCTCTTTTGAATTTACGTGCTAGAATTGTACCAACATCGATGCTTAAGACGGTATCCCTCCCCCAATAGTAGTTTTTTTTATATAGTTTTAAATAGTCTAAATTTTAGTATTTTTGTGTCATAGTGTGAAATAGTTATTCCGGTTGTGCATACAAATGAAGGTGCTGATTTTTTTTATCACAATGATGTTGGACATTGCTGGCCCGCTCTGCACCCTCGCACACCCTCTCTGTCCTCCAATGGCCGTTCAGCCCCTTCCGCTCTGTGCTCCGTTCATTACGTTCCACCAGCTTCTGCCGCTCTTTCCACTAAGCACATTCCGTTCGGCACGTTTTTTCGCCTAGCCCTTTCCCTTTCGATTCTGCTTCTCTCTATCCTTCCACTCCTCTTATACTTCTAGATCTTGTAACTCTTCCTCCTCCTCTGTGTATTGTTTGTGCGCGTCCTGATTGAGTGTTAGGTTAGTGACTGAGTTTGTTAGTGTTTTAAAAGTTTTCCACTACAACAGGATGGACGAACTCTAACATAATGTAGGATGTTCAGGAGTATTTACTCATATGCATCTTATAAGTTCATGAATGTCAATACATTAACCAGTCTGTTTCCAACCGTCACGCATTATTTTAGAATATAAAATAAGTACATTTTTGTGAATTTAAATAATTTAGAATCTAAATCAATGTGCGTATCCAGATCGTTCACATGATCGTTGTACGGAGAAGTACCATTGTCAAGTTTCAGGAATTTTTGTTTCTTTCTTTTTCTTAGTCTGTATTTGAGAATTCAACGATATTACTTTGTTAAAGTCTGGCAGAGTCGTCACGCTGCGTCTCGACTCGTGGGCCGCAAGTTTGGCTCGTGGTTGTTTGGAATAATCTTTGATGCATGGAATGTTGCAATGGCAGCGACCGCTCAGTACAGAGTCCATTTCGAGTTGTTTGCGGGGCAGGGGTGCGCTTTCGTGCAGAACAAGCAATAACCATAAGCTATTATAACCGAATACCAATGGAATTTTAAAGTTATTTTATTTCGCATTTATTGGAGTGAATAGATTTGTTTTGCCGTCACACCAATATATCTAAAACACTTCAGTATTGCTTAAAGGAAGACCAAAGGATTTATTATTTTTAATAAAAAATATCATAAAAATAAACGTTGTTCTGAGCATTGAAAAAGAACGCACTACGATATTGCGATTCTCCCCTTCCCCTCCCCCCCGTCTCATCGGAAAGCTAGGCTTGAATACTGAGCAAATCAACGATAACACAAAACTGCCTCGCCTCTTCACTGATTTGATTATGTAGATCTTTATCTTAAGATTGGCAACATTAAATCTTTGCATCACAGAGCCGCAAAACGTATTTCCCAGGTTGAAGGGTGGGGTTACCTTTTATGATACTAAATTGATTTCCGAAAGTGGGTAATTATTGCGTGGCATTATTTATCAGTATTCAGATGTTCGTGCCCGTAGACGTTTATTCATCTTTGTTAAATTTCTCGTGAATACGTCAGCACAACTTCATCTGCCCGCCTAGACACCCATCAGGGCTCGGCATCTTTGTGAAGACGACACCTTGCACTGCGCGGATTTGAACTCGCGCACCCGGCTGCATGCACATGGTGACTGCTTGTGGACGATTGTGAGAAGTGTTTCTTTGCGACCACCTACGTTTCGCATTATTAAAGGAAGCGTGTCCATGTTTAGTACCATTGATGTACTGCGAGTGGTTTGCAGATTAGTTTTTTTGATTTGGACTAATCCCAGATGGGAGTACTTTAGCACTTTCTTTTTAACAAGGCTTCCGTGTAGGAAGCTTTTCAACGCAGTGTTTCCTACAGGTGTGCGGGAGGATATTCCACCGGTCACCAGAATGTATTCCTACTTCTTCTCGACCGTTTGGAGATGTTTTAAAGACCTTTTCCGCTCGTTCAAGACCGGAAGGGAGTCATTTCATACTCTTTCATTGCGTTTGAAGAACCATCGACAGTAGCGTCGTGTGCAAATCTTTTAAGTGTGTTTTCTAGGAGTTTAATATCTAGAAATTCATTATATATGTGACACCAGGGCATTGGGCTTTTGGAGTACTTCTGGGATTCTGCACATCATGTTATGTTTGAACTTTTATTTAGTATTCATTGTGGACGGACGCTGTTTTGAAAGAGCGCCGCGATAATTTTTTCTTGGTATTGTCTTGTCGTATGGAGTTTTTTCGTCTAGAAGAGTTTCCTACAATCAGTCAGTATGTCAGTAGTTGTAACACAAAATGCTAGTTCTTCCATTAACTCCGGCCTTGGCATTTTTTCTATTTTTACCTCTGTTGCGTCTCGCGATCAAGCTTTCCTGACGTGGTTGTTGTTCTTTCATCTGCCCTAGCCTAATCAGTGAATGAGGCAATGGGCCTCTAAGATGTAAAACTACTTGTAATTGTTTCTCTCTCATTTACGTCAATTTTAGAACCAGGATGTACTTCTGCTCTGTTGTCCTTTTTATCGTAATTATATCCAGACAATTTTTTTTCGCCGTCGCGCCGTATGTAGCAAAATATGCTGAACTTGATTTTTGGGAATAGATATATTGTTGTAGCAACTTTAGTATTTGTTTGCATTATTTTGCTTTTTATCCTTCAGGGAAAGAAAACACACGTGCGGGGAATGAAACAAACGCGTTTTCTTGTGGTCTGGAATCCCAACCTCTTTTATCGTGCATGCGTGTTGAATTATGAATAAAGGCTGGGAAGAGCGTTGTTGACAGCTATAATTTTAATTTTGATATTTCTGCCGACGAATTAACTCGAACGCTCTTACTCCGTCCACATCTAGCAATGTGAAGTCAAGAGAACGTGTGCGTATACCAAAATAGCAAAACCATATATACCAATCCATTATATACCAATCGCGCCTTTGGCACGTGCTAAAGAGACTTCTGCACATTTTTCTTTTTTCCTTCTCCCACTGTTTCACCTACTGAGGATAATCACTCAAGTTTTCCTTTGAGTATTGATTCTCGAGTATTTCATTTTTGCTCTTTCACAGACAGTTATTCTCCAGATTCTGAGGCAGGTGCTGAACAGACATGGCATCGGTAGGGGTGTCCGGAAGGGGGGAGCAGCTGCGGCGACTTGCCCAATGTCTCGACGACCGAATTTTTGGTTATTCAATAGAAATGAATATATTTTTATCTCTAATACTAATTGAACGCTGCAAGTTATTTCTGATACGTCTAGAAATGAATTCTGTTTATAAATTGGTTAGAGGGAATTTTTTGTTTGAAATAATCGTGAATCAACTGCCTCAGGCCCCTGGTTTACTCTGTGCGCTTCTGGGCAGGAGGTCATGTAATGGTAGACAGTTTGAAAGAAGTTTCCAAAAGAAATTCTCATACAACTTAAGTAACTGATTTTGTTTTCAATTCTTACCGAAAATAACGTTGCATGAAAAACAAACCTATAAAAGATGTGTTAATCTTAGTATTCGTGTGTGTCTGTTGATCAGAGTGGGCGTCTCCATTTGCGTTGTCGTCTTTTACGCACGTGTAATTCTGAAGGTAACGAAATGCTGTTGTGATGTTTCAGGATGGTCTTGGACCCCAAAATCGCGCACAATGACTACGGCAGTTTCCAGAGCCCCGGCGTGGGCGCCAGCGCGCATCACCGCGGTGTAGAGATCGCGTCCGCGGCCCTGCCGCCGGGCGACGCCGGCCTCCACGGCCACGAGGGCGACGGCGAGGGCGAGGGCGACGCCGAGGGCGCGCGCCTGGCCGGCGACATGACGCAGTCAGACCTCTACCAGCGCCAGGTGAGACGACTTGCCCCAGGTCGCCACTGAATTGGCGCCCCAATATCTTTTCTTTTTTTTTCTTTCCTTTTTCTTTTCTTTCTTTCTTTTTTTCATTCGAAAGAAATTTAAAAAAATATTAATCTCTAATCCAAATTTAAGGTTCTCATGCATGGAGAAATGAATAATGTTTATGAATTGTGGGAGGAGGGAAAGTTTTGTTTCGAGTGAGGGGTCTTCGTGAATCAACTGCCCCAGGCCCCTGTTTTTTTTCTGGGTCCTGCGCAACCATGTCCACATTTCGCGTTTTAAGTACTGATTGAGATTTGCGTCGGTTTTCTTTTAGGACACTACGAAAATAGTTGTTCTGAGTTGTAACGGCAGTGTGTTCTGCAATCGATAAATTCCCGCGATCGTATTGGTTTTTAGTACGTATTCCGTTTCGCACATGTTGCTTTACAGGACTATTTTAACGTCAGCGCTCAGCCATTACTATTGAGAAACACTTAAATTATCGTAACTTTTGACACACGCTGCAGAACCAGATAAATCAACTGAAATATCGTAATGTGATACTTTTTGCAGAGTTTCATAAAACGTTTGAAGCATCCTCGTCACCTGAATCGTTTGAAGTGTGAGCAGCCGTTTTCACATTTCCCTCCATGTCTGTTAAAAATGGAAGTAGTTCCTAACTGTGACGCTGCCTGGTAATGCTAGAATTTCAAAATGACACGTCCCTTTGATTCGCATTTCTTAGATTAGAGCTCCCATCAACATGTGTTATGGACGTTATCAGAACACACTGTCGCCCCAGTGCGTAAGAAACTTCATTTAGCGGGTCACGTGACTTTTACCGTACACCTTAATTCTGGCGGAGTATCGTTATCTGATAAAACTCGTATGTTGGAATTGGTGCACGCACGGAAGCTCTAAGATGAGTTTCTATCGAATACGATGTAGTGTTTCTCTCTGGGCAAAAACCCATTTTAATTTTTTTATCTGAATACTGTATTTAAAACTTTTTACACTTTTTATTTTGTATGTCTTTCATTGGGTCCTATTAAAACTCTGATGTTTCTCGAACAACGTTATTTGCGCGCAGATGGTGCTTAGTACAGACATCTTGCTTTAACCAGATTCAAGAACTCGCTTCTGCTTAGAAACCTTTCAGCAACCTCATCAGTGTTGGGCAATCAGTGCT